CACAGACGCTGCCAAACCTTTGAGTTTCTCTTTTGAGACGTAAGACCATATGTTCACATAAGAGAGCCTCTGAGATGTTCTCAGAATGAACTAAGCCTTCAGCTTCTAGCTGGGGTTGTTGTTGTCTTTTTTTTTTAAAGTGCTTGATAATTATTATTTTTGAAATAAAAGATAATAGGAAAAAAAACTTTTAAAGATAGACGGAGAGAGAAATGCATTGTTAAGATTAGATAACAGTGGCCTGGAATTCATCCCAAATTGTATAGTTAAAAGTCTCTAGAGATTCTCAGTCATCCAGGCCATGGTTGTCCTAAACGTGCTTTTTCAGGAGGCAACTGGACTTTCTTGGTTTTTTTCCTTGAAGACATTTGCTTGGCGGTCAGTTGTGGGCCGACGGCTGAGGGCCACTCCAATTTCAAAGGGGGAAGCATCACAGGTGATCCGAACCGGCAAAGTATGGTTGAACTGGATGATCACGCTGTTGGAGTATAGGAGCTCTTTTACCGCTGCGAAGGCCCAGTTTTCCTTCTGTGCCCAGGTCCATGGCGCTGTCTTTCCCAGGAGATTGTGCAATGGCTCAGCAACAGTGGCCTTCTGTTGTAAAAAAAATACTATAAAAGTTCAATAGTCCTAAGAAGGCTTGGAGCTCTGTCTTGTTCCTTGGGGTGGGGGCATTTCTAACAGCTTTGCTGTAAGGCCTTATTCAGCGTACACTTGTAATCTGTGCAGAGGCCGACAGAACCATCTGGCTTCACGGGGGTGACTATTGGGGTTTCCCATACCGCGAGGTCGGTTGGCATGAGGATTCCTTGGGCAATTAGTCTGTCCAGTTGCTTATCCACCTTGGGCTGTAGAGCAAAGGGGACCCTTTGGGGTTTGAACCTGATGGGGGTTACATGAGGGTCTAGGTTAAATGAAATGGATTTCCCTGTATATTCACCTAGGCCCCCAACGTAGACGTCCATGAACTCTGCCAGTAGCCGATCCAGGTCATGGGTTGAGATTCGATGCAGGCTGGTGATATCTAGCTCCAGGGTCTTGAACCATTCCATTCCCAGTAGGGACGGTTATTGGCGATGACCGTGAGAGGTAGATGGCCCTGGAATTCATGGAACACCACCTCGACCTCCATTCTTTCTAGGACTTGGATCCGGTTCCCCTGGTAGTTGTTGAGCCAGATGTTTGGTGATTTGAGGAGCTTCTTTCTTAATGGTCTGCCAGGACACGATCGTAAAGTATGATCCTGTGTCCAGCTCCATCTTACATGGTCCCACTTCAATGGTCACCATGGCATGGAACTTTTCCCCTTCATGGGTACCTGAGCGGCCCACAGTGATATGATGGATCTCCCTCTGGACTTGGTACTATTCTTCTCTCTACCTATTCTGCTGTTGGCTGGGTCATGGGTTGTTTTGTCTCCACTGCGGAGCCGTGGGTCTTGGATAGGATGGGGATGGGCTGGGATGCTCTGCACGCCTTGGCAATGTGGCCTTTCCGCTGGCATCTATGGCAGATGACTTCCCAGAAACAGCATGCTGCTCTTGAATGGAATCCCATGCAGCCTGGGCAACATGGCTGCCTGCCCTCTATGTCCCATGCACTTTGTCTCCTCTCTGGGTACACGCGGTGAATGTCATCGGCATCGTCCCCTTCATCGTCATACTCCAGAATTTCAGATGCCCAGTCGGATTCTCTGAACGTTTGGTGTACCCCACTGGTTTTCCTTACATGCACTGCCGAGTTATCAGATGACTCAGCTGCCCGGGCTTCCTCGATCACGTCCTTGAATGAGACTCCCCTTCTGATTAGCAGTTTCTTTTGCAAGGAGAGGTGTCTCATTCCTAGGATGATCCAGTCCTTCATCATTTCTTCTGGGTTGATGAAGTCACACCAGGTCGCGATTTCTCAGAGGCTGGCCATGAAATCATTCACTGTCTCACCTTCCCATTGGCGCCTATGGTAAAACTCATTCCGGCTCACCATGGGGGCGGCGGATGGTGCATAGTGGTCTTCCAGGGTGCTTTGTAGGGTTGTCCATGCGACGGTCTCTACGTCTGCTGGGGCAACCAATGTTTGTGCCATCTTATAGATTTTCGTTCCACAGTAAGTTAGGAATAATTCCCTCTTCCTATTGTCCGGCTGGTCCTAGTAGTCATTGGCTTCCAGGAACATCCGGAATCACCCCATGTATGTGTGCCAATCCTCTGTCTGTAGGTCGAAGATTGCTGGTGCAGGGGATGCTTGTGATGCCATCTTTAAAGAGCCAAGGTGGCGCAGTGGTTAAATGCAGCACTGCAGGCTACTGCTAGATCAGCAGGTCAGCGGTTCAAATCTCACCGGCTCAGGG